ATTTTACTAGTTAACCACTTTTTTGATATCTTTCACAGAAAATGAGATATATAGGCTCAAAGTGGACGATCCTGGTGTCGTTCTATTAGAGGTTTTACGGTATGTAGAAAACGGTTTTTTTTTATGCATAGTTACATAGTCTGTCATAGTCTGCATAGTCTGTCAAAAAACTGCCACATTCTTCTCTCGCCAATACATAGAGTTCCGATTGCTTATTCATGATTCTATCCTGTCACATTTATCCAGAACTTCTATACTATAGACTCCGCCCACATGTGCCCTCGACCCATGTGGGCGGAGCCTACCAAAAAAAAGGGGTATAAAAGAGCGCCCTAGTTCTCTATTCACATTATTTCTGATGTCCCTTTAGGACATCTACAGGCCACTTTCTGCATGAAGGCCATACGATTCTTGATTTTTATTTAAATTCTATAAATATTTATTCTGAAATTTTATTTAGTTCGCGGATATTCAAAATGGTGAGTGGTTTTGGAGTCCTCATTTTCGATGCCCTAAAAAGCAGACCAAAATTGTTTGATTTCTCTGAAAATTCTAGAATATAATAAGCAAAAATAGAGCTTCATTTTTGTAATTGATAACTTTTTTTAAATGAATATCCAACGAAGCGAGATCAACGATTTTGAACTGGAAAAAATCTAATTTCAGTGCTAATTTTTGGCACCTTCTTGCTAAAAAACGTTATATCCCATCAAAATGGAATTAATAGAAAAAGTTGTCAATTACAAAACTGAAACTATAATTTTGTTAAGTATGCACTGAAATTTTCAGTCAAATCGAACAATTCTGGAGTAATTTTTCAAGACTTGACTATTTTCCACTGAAAAATATCAAAAAATCATATATTTCTGTGGGGTACTGTACCTAGAATAATATATATTTCCTATTCAGTTCTAATACCCATGCATTATATGCAATACTATATGTATGTACACAATGGGGTCTTTTCTGCAAAAAGCCGTCACAGTTGAATGATCTGGCGCAGTTTTATCGAAGCCATAAAACTACAGTAGCTTTTCTGAGGCGCTCGTAAAAACTCTTCTCCGATTGCTTCAAAAAAAAACCGATATTTCCGGAATAAAAAAGTTGGAAAAGGGGGCCAAGTCGAAAGAGGGGGGGGGGCATGCCTGGGAATCTCCTTTGCCATAAAGGGCTCTTCTGACTATAAGAACAGACATTTTTGGAATAAAAAATAATGAAATTCGTGCTTTCCAAAATAGAGAATACAGTATCACAAAGAATCAAAAAGAAATAAAAATTCAATTTTTCAGACAAAAAGTTGCCATAATTGTTAAAATGGAAGAAATCTGCTATCGAAAAAAGGTGGAAGATGCCATAACGGTTTTAAACTGATAAAATAATGTCTATTACCGTCGTGGGGGACAATTCATCCAGTGTCAGGTGTTTGGAGGGTAATTAATTAAAAATTATTCCGTTGATGGTAATTACTGTTTTTTAAGCTACGTCACCGAAGGATGGCTCTCGAAAAACCGGCCCGGAGAGACAACTGCTGACTGTTAAAAATTCCAAACCCATTCCCGGCTCTTAATTGTGAACCGACTTGAAGGAGGGTCCTTTCGTAAAGTAAGGTTACTGAACTATTTTCACCTTAATTCATTTCTCTTATTTTTAGGAGGGACGAATTGGAAACGAATTGTCACTCCAACGATCAGACTAAAGAGCCGAAAATGCGCTTCTGAAAAAGAAAGTCGACATTCTCGAAAAGTAATATTTTGATAAAACGGATAATAATGAGAAAACACTGTTGTTTTTACAGATCAAAGAGTTGGAACTGGGAACTTCTGGTGGAGCTCAAGAGGAAAAAATGATGGGGAAATGATCCAGAGGAATTAATTCAAATTTTTAGCATTATTTGAATCGGATAATAAAAAAGTTTTGTTTTTTCATTTTTTAATTTTGTTACTATTTTAAATCACCAAATCCCACAAAAAAAATAGTGTCGATTCTTCCATTTTTCCTTGGCACTCTTCCGATATCTTTAAAAGAACAGAAAGATATTTAAAAGTGGCTTATTGATAAAGTGTTCATTATAATGTCAAACGTATTTTGTTAGTTGATCTGTTTTTGATATCTTGTACAGAGACCGAGATATACTGGCTTAAAGTTTTGTTCCTCCACAGAAGAACTTTGAGCAATAAAGGTTCCTCAAGGCGCTGTCTTCATTGATAAAGAAATGTTTTGTCAACTTTCTGTCAATGCTTCAATCTCAGAGTTTAGCACAAACTGACGGAAACACACGATTTTTGATCATGAGTTTAGACTCCGCCCACATGCGTCTCTCGACCCATGTGGGCGGAGTCTCACAAAAAGGGGGTATAAAAGGGCGGACTAGTTCTCCGTCCACATTATTTCTGATTCCCTTAAGGACATCTACAGGCTCCTTGTGTATGGAGCCAACTATATTCTTGATTTTTTTTTAAATTCTATAAATGTTTATTCTAAAATTTTTAAAATTGGCGGATATTCAAAATGGTGAGTGGTTTTTGAGGTCTCATTTTTGGAAAAATCCAGAATTCCAGAATTTTTCGTATTTTCTTAGAGTGCACTAAACAAAATTAAAGCTTGGATTTTCTAACGAAAACGAGATAAGCAGTGTTAAAGGGGCACAACTCTCATTTCAGTGCTTATTTTCAGTTTTTTTATTTATTTCAACCGTTATATCTCATCAAAATGGAATTTAGCGAAAAAGTTGTCAATTACAAAAATAGAGCTCCAATTTTGTTTAGTATGCTCTGAAATTTTCAGCCAAATCGGAAGATTCTGAAATACTTTTTCAAGACTTTGAAGTTTACTATCTTCCCCTGAAAAAGTTAAACTATGATATATTTCTGTGGGGTACTGTGCCTAGAATAGTATATATTTCATATTCTGTTCTAATACCCATACATAATATTCAATATTTCCACACTATATGTAGTTCCTTTCTGATGTTTTCTTTTTATCAGAAATCAAAAAATTACCGTAATCTGAAAACACTTTCATTTCGGTTGGAAAAAAAATTACAATTTTGAAAATCAATAAAATTCTTGGTTACAGTAGTTGTCGTTATTTCTGTGAATTTGAGATTTCGCAAAACACCATTAGATGTGCATTTTGTAATTTATAGAACTCTTAGCTTTTACACAATCTGGAATTTTTTATTTTTTTTTGTTTTCAGACATCAATAATATCCAAATATTCTGAAGCTGAAAAAATGAACAAGGTTCCTTTAAACTTCATTCTAACACTGTTGTGATTCACGCTCTCAACCGTAATTTCAAATCTTGCAGCAATCGATCAAGCTCAAACTCCAAATTCAGAGAACCCAGGGATTTCGTCTGCCTCAGAAAATGGACCTATAGCCGGAGGAGACAAATGAATTAATTTTTAAATTGAATTAATTTTTTAAATTATTCATTTAACATATAAACATAGTTTATTTTTTGAGAATGTGTTCCTGATTTCAGTCAAATCGAAAAGTTCTGCAATGATTTTTCAGTGCTTCAAAAATTCTTTCTGCAGGGTACTGTACCTAGAACAATATATATTCCATCATCAGTTCTAATTCCCATGCATTGTATGCAATGTTCCCACATTTTATGTATGTACAATCGTACGCAATAGGAGTCTTCTTCATTTCCTTTCTGATATTTCTTTTTATCGAAAATCAAAAAATCGAAGGGATTGAAGGAAAACGACAGTGTTTAAATGTCTTGAAACAATAACCACCGTCATCAGAAATGACTTTAATGTTGAAAATTCGGAAAATAAAACAATTTATGTGGTGTAGTTTACTGTAGTTACTGTAGTTTTGACCATTTCTCTAAATTCGATTTTTTTTGCAAAACACCGTCACAGTTGAATGATCTGCCGCAGTTTTATTAACACCATAAAACTACAGTACCTTTTGTAAAAAGTTTTTTCCTAGCGCTCGTAAAAAACCTTCTCCGATTTTTTTTTCTAAAAACTGATATTTCTGCAATAAAAATATGAAATTCGTACATAAGAAAAAAGAGGGGGTTGGGCAGGAATGACGTGAAAATAATTTTCGAAAGATTTGCAATGTAGAAATAGAAGGACGTCTCCAGAAGGCGTCAAACTCAAAATTTCGAAACAAAAAATAGACGGGCATCATCTCGCTGCTATTTCGAATCATCTGGGAAAATTTGAAAATTTTCGGTCTACCGGGGACTTCGCTAGGGTCGTGGAACCGGGAACAAACGGACACACAGACAGAATTTGGTGATTGTAAAGATTCCCTCTCTCGCCACCAGAGTTTGAAGTGCTTATTCATGATTCATGTGTCCCTCGACCCATGTGGGCGGTGTCTAACAAAAAAGGGGTATAAAAGGGCGCGCTAGTTCTCTATACACTTCATTTCTGATGTCCCTTTAGGATATCTACAGGCCACTTTCTGCATGGAGACCATATTATTCTTGATTTTTATTGAAATTCTATAAATATTTAACTTAAAACTTATTCTAATTAATTTTGTTTTTATTCTATATTTTTCATACATTAGCGGATATTAAAAAGGTAAGTAGTTTTGGAGTTATTTTTTTAGCTTTAAATTATGATGTGTCTAAGTTTGTGTCAAGAAAATTCCAGTTAGAATACATTCAATTCTTGTGTACAACACTTTACGGAGAATTTCATTTTGACTTTTTCCGTTGGAAAAGACAAATTTGGGGTCCTAAATAAAGTAGTCTAGAATTTTTCAATTTGCCTGAAAATTTCAGAGTACACTGAAAAAAAAACAAAAGCTTCTTTTTTTTATTTACATATTTTTCGTACCGATTCAACGAAACGAAATACCGTAAAACCTCTAATAGAACGACACCCGGATCGTCCACTTTGAGCCTATATATCTCACTTCTTTTGAAAGATATCAAAAAGTGGCTAACTAGTAAAATGTTGCTGATATTCTGA